CTAATGCAGTGTCCTCTTTACTCTTACTATTTTCTTGAATTTCTCTCTCGGTGACCTGGTTTTGTCCTCTACGGCGCGTGTTGTTGTCAAAGTTTCTTTGTGGGCCACGTGGTCTTGCCTCTTGATTGGGTTTTCCCGCCTTACAAAATTTCGTCCCTGCGAAATGTCCCTTTTCTTTGCATTTAYGRCACTCTTTCCCAAAGGCTTTGCACTTATCATTAGACTTGTGTCCCTTGCGACCACAACGGTAACATTCAAATGTCGCTTTAGAAATCCTTGCTACTCCAGCACTATCCGCTTGTGCGTAGCGCGACGTCGAGGGAGCTTCGCCCTTGTTTTCCAACAGAAGAAAGGTGTTGGCTAGTTGGACTGCCTCCGAGATCTTTAATGTACTGCCATTTTCCAACAGCTTTCGTTCGATAGCTGGATGTCTCAATCCAACGATGAACTGTTCAGCTAAATTTTCGTCCAGCGCAGTTCCCGTGAAACCACAATGTCTCACCGCATTCCTTAGCYGTACTTYAAACTCTGCGATGCTTTCTCCGTCCTTTCTCTTCACAGAGCGAAACTTTGCCCTCTCCATTCTGACATTYCTCACTGATCCGAAGTGTCCCTTTAACTTTCCGACCAGTGTCTCAAAATCCAGTTCTTTCGGTATCTCTGGCGCTACGAGATCTCTTAAGKTTTCATATTGACTTGCCGTCAATCCACATAACAAAAAGGCAACCTTTTGTTCCTTCTTTGTCTTCATCAGCTCGCAGTAGCATTCCAGTCTTTCAAAATAACTTTCGATATCCCCTACACCATCATATGTAGGAGCACGAATGCCACTTTYTGCCATGATGATCCTCGTCGCCAATTTAACGTACTACAACGTTCTTTAGTTGAAACATTTATTGAGTCACTTACACTCTAATACAATGAATGAGTTCTAACTATTAGATACATGCCAATATATATGTGCGTTTATTTCATACTTGATTCAGGTTTCTTTGTTATTCATAGTGTTATTCCCCAGCTCATTGTGCATTCAAGTGCTTTATATCGAAGTTTCAGGGATATATCTAGACATCGCCCCCATTGAATACTAATGTATATTGGCCCTTGAATACCTAATTAACTACAACGTTCAACTTAGAAATTTTCCGTCTGAAACTTGAAAGAAAGAAAGAAAAATTCAAGTGACACCAAGTAGATTCGAACCCACAACCTTAGCATTGAAAATCCTATACTTAACACGTTATGCTAACTGACTAATTGATGTCAGTTATGGAATAAAACAGCTATTTAACATTGTCCAGTTACTTGTTACAAAAGGCATATTGTTAGCATTGGTCTCATAGGACTAACAAGAAAATTGGTTATGCAAATTATTCCCGTTAGGAATTTTCTTTCTAATCGAGGGTTTGGTTTTTAATTCATATGAAAACGGCTTCTTTGCCTATTTAAAAATGAAAATATCAATGCAGTGCTTGGAAAACTTCTTCAAGTATGAAATAAGSCAGTTACATACCTCGAACGTCGGCAATCAGCCTATACATCCCTCGGGCCTACGGCCCTCGGGATGTATTAGGCTGATTGCCTCCGTTCTCGTTATGTAACTCTTACTTAATACACATCCGACAAGACTTAATATATAAAAAACTACTTAGATCACAGTGCTTCTTGATTTAGAAYGAAATGTGGAATGTACTTCAGTTTTAGAATGCATGCCACATTAGTGCCTAATAAGATTTAGTTACATTGTAGTATTCGTGTTTCGGGTACGGAATGTGTCCACAGTTGTGTCACGAAGATCTATAATGAAATCAACAACTAAAGTGAAGTCTTYGGCTCGAGATTGTAAAATCCCATACAACACGCCCGCTCATGTTGTAAATATTACTTGTTGTAGTTTCTCAAAGCCATCCATTGCCCATTGTGCTCAACATGAGTCATCAGCTCTAATGCTTGGGTCATGTTATGTCAAACGATTATACGTAAAATACAATAGGAGGAATTTTTTTTAGAATTTCAGAAAGCATTGGTTATGTTTTTGTTAGAATATCAATAATTACCCTGCACCATGTTGCAACTGGACTTGCAACACCTTATGTGATCTAAACTTTATTTGATCGGAACTACGATTATCGATCTAGTATAACGCCCATTGCTTACCCATCCATATTTCATCAAATCTTCAGAGTCTTCGTTTTGCAAAAGTTCTGGTTTTGGACGAAGTATATGGAGAAACACAGCGAAGCAGAGATGTTCACTGAACACTTTGTTTACTCACCCCATTCCACCTCCGGCGTTCCATATAGTTTAACCCAGGAGTTTAGCAATGCAAAGGTCATCATGAAAGCAGTTTAAGGACTTCTACAAATTACATGAAACCATGAAGCGATTAATCTGACTTCAAAAACAATTTTGTCAAAAATAATTTTTTAGATCCATCACACTTTTAAAATTCCTGACATAGAGCAGAGTCACATGAACCATGAAATAAGAACTAAAAAGTACTAACTAATAGGGACTATTAGTTCCTAATAGTCATTAGCACTGAACCAGAACAGTTTATTTGATCCAATAAGCAATACCCAAGGGACCACTTTAACAATCAAAGTAATCTCTTTGTACGTATACTGTTCTGGTTCAGTGATAGTGTCTAAATAGTGCCTAATAGATACTAAGTATTTAGTTTCTATTTCATGGTTCAAGTGACTCTGCTCTAGTCTCCTTGTCCTAACTTGTTTAACCAAATCATAATCATCCTCTCAGATTGACATTCAAAATAATCAATACAARTAAAAAAGATTCCATTTTTCGCATCTGAGCGCGAGTAAGATTTCGACCATCCAAGAGCGCATAAAGTCGTGTAATCAAATATAGTCCTTTCATTATCCCTCATTATGCTCATTATCCCTTTCTCATTAAATAATCAGTGATATTTTATTTCATTTCTTTTTAAAAAGATCCCCAAAGGACACAACCTTGAACTAGGAAACTAACGCAATGCCTTGATTCTCTGATATTAAAGAAGATTTTTCTCTGCCGCGTTCATTTCTACATCTTGGTGAGGCTTTGGGTTCTTCCCACAACAAGGTATCCCAAAGTCCTCTTCAGCTGCTTCGGTTTGTTTGATGGTCTGGTGCATTGGTGAGTACAGTGTCTCAGGAATCCAGTACATTAGTATCCCAGCTAACACTGCGGCACAACCAAATATGGCGGACGGAAAGGCAATGCTAAGKCCTGGTAACTGACCCTGTGAAAATACAAAGGTAATTTAAAGACATCTTACACATAATAACACGTCAATCAATAAAAATGTTACCATCATCGCGATATACGGTGCGATCATCCCTCCAATACGAGCACATGTTGAACCAGTTCCTTGTGCTGTGTTCCTGTTAAACAAGTGTTTACAAACCAATGAATAAATACAGGTAACCCAATTGGTACATAACAAAAAACACACCACCAGCAACGATCGTGATCGTTGTACATTATCTACCTGAAGACTATAATTTTAATGRTAGTTTGAAAGTAGCATTGGCTTATCCAGTACCTGAGAATTGTGGGAAACAACTCAGCGGTCATCAAATAAACACCTGTCCAATTGCAGTCAATCATGATGAAACCAAACAGTGACAAGGCGGTAGTTGCCAAGGGAACATCTAGAAATAACAATAAGCCATGAAGGGTAACCTAGGTAACCTATGAGTTTCAAGATGTGGCTGAGCACGACTTGAAACACTAAGCAAGACTGAATACCTTTATAGACAGCCAAAACAAGCAGGAGAGAAACGCCGCCCATAACGATGATGATTGCATAGGGAACTCGTCTACCAAACCTAACAACCATATCAAATCATTTACATCATGTGGCCAAAATTCTTACTAATGAACTGCGACACGACTGGCGATGGCAACCTCCTCCCTCCTATGTCGATTCTTCACCCCTCCCTCCCATCTTGATCMACCAATTTCCCATTTACTTTCCTTTACTTTACTTACTTAAGATACACGATCCAGGTGAGTGGCACACGTAACGAAGTAGCGACCTTTATTATGATATAGTTCAAGTAGATGTCTCCAGAAAGTTGTGAGAAAAAAAGCAAAATACCAAAAGTTGCTAGAGCAACGGTAAACCTGCGACGCGGAGAGATTAAAAATTAGACAACTGAAGTGACCCAAAATGATCTGGTAATGGTGCGCCTGAAAAGATATGGAAATGGACCAGAATGCCAGTACGTAAATGGTCAAATCGAGATAAAAACACTTCGAATTGCCTTCCTRTACAAATAAGAGTGTTGAAGGATCACAATATTCACAATTAATGGATAAASTAGAAGAAAAGTATTTTGGAAGGTGTTCAGATTGAAAAATAATATCATATACGGATAAAAAAATTGTTGCCCGTTCAATATTCTGGCCTTGTTGAAATATTTACCACTGATAACCAAGGATTAATGACCATTTCCTTATCTTAGGAGTTCGGAGAAGATCAATCGGCGTGTACTTCTTTTGTTCTTCGTGTGATTTTGTCTGTTCGCATCTGACTTGCTGAAGAAATCTTTTCAAATTCTCTACATCGACAGGACCACCATCTTTGGCTCCATACTTTTGTATTGCAGTTACAGCTTCATCAACTCGACCGTGAGCCACCAGCCATCGTGGCGATTCTGGTATCCATCTGAAATATTGAAAAGGATAATGAATAAGAAGTGGCTTTGTAAGTGGATGAATGGATAGATGGTTTCGATGGTTCACGGATTACTTGATGAATTGGTTGCAGCACTGTAGATGGACAGTTAGTAGTAACTAACCGCCGACCGGTTAGCTCAGTAGGTAGAGCATCGGACTTTAGTGCGGGAGGTCGCAGGTTCAAACCCCGGCCGGACCAACACTCAGGGTCTTAAAATAATTGAGGAGAAGTTGCTGCCTTTGTCTTTCTCCATCTGCAAATGGTAAGATCTTCGCGTCCTCTCGGATAACGACGTAAAATCGGAGGTCCCGTCTCTCTACACTTCACTCACTAACCTGTATTAGAGGGACGTTAAAGAACCCACACCACTGTTCGCATAAGAGTAGGGAATGATTCCCGGTGTGTGTGGCTAGGCCTTACTACTAACCCATACTAATTACTAACCCCTCATGATTGTAAGCCGCGTGGCTGCCAATTGCGCCTTTAACAGCGGTCCGTGTGAAATGATCTATACATGTGAAGMGCCTGTGAACTCAGAGGATATCGGCGCTATATAAATACCACATATTATTATATTATATTATTATTATTAACTTACTTCCAGAAAAAGAACAGAAGCACTGCTGGGGCTGTTATGATAATCAACAAAATCCTCCATGATGAATTAAGGTAGGAGAAAATGGCGACAAGCATTGCTAATCCATTGTAGTAAATGTACGTCACGTTCCCGGCTGCTGTTCGGTGTTGTGGTCCTACCAACTCCATCCCATAAATGTAGAGTGACAGCATGCAGCCAACAAGACCGAAACCAACCACAAAGCGGAGAAAAGCAAAGAATGAAACGCAGTCCACAAGTGCCGAACCAATGCCTGCAGCAAGCTACAAAGGAATGTGAATCAGTGCGATGGAAAGACGACCACATCGAGGAATATAATCAACATGGACAACATCTTGGGAAAGATGTGTGTCCTCACTTAAAGAAGATAGACGGCCAGAACCAACAGCAAAATTGAAAATTCTTAGATATGCAATTTTGGACATGGCAGCCTTAAAAACGTGTGATAAATTCTTCTTTCCATTTAACAAAGTATCGCGYATTTCCTTACGTACCATTATAGCATTACAGAAGAACAAGCACTTTTTTCGTCCCCAGGCGTCCGACAGCATACCGGTCACAAATGAACCAATCAGCATTCCAGCAAAATAGCAGGAATTGATAGTAGCTCCCAGGTAAGCGCGGTCACATATAAGGTTCCACTAAAACGACGACACGGTTAGTATGTTATGGCAATGTACTTGAGGAGTTTGTATAACGTAAAGAAACAATACATGCATCAGGAGTTCCGGAGAACAATGCATCCGCCAACTTGAAAAGTGAGACTCAAATCACTAAATTATAACTCCTAAAGAAATTAAAAGGTTCTAAGTTAATGTAAATCTAATATAATATACGTTATGATGATAGATTAGTTGACTAAGCAGCTATGAAATTTGTTYTAAGGCAGAACAGTGATTCAGGGCTCACTTTTCAAGATGGCGGACACATTGTTCTCTGAAACTCCTGATGCGTGTATATACGCACCTCAGAGACTGTGCTTGTAAAAGGTCCATCAAATACGTACGATGTACATTCGTCACAGCACTGTTTAGCAGCACAGGTGACATTGTCTGTCACACAATGAAACYCGGGACTTCCTGTTRCGAAAACAAGCGCAGCAAACTGACTTGCGATGGGAAATACCTGGAGATTAATGAGGCCAAACAAAAGTATCTGATATCGACCACATGACTTCACATGGTTGAAGATGTCGTCATATTCATGCCCACTCCACGACCCAACTGGGTTGCCATCCATAGCTTGGAAACTGGTCTGAAAAAGAACTGGCAGATAAAGAAGGTCATGGAAACATTGCCGGGATTATTGACTACCAGTAAATAAGATTATGTTAATGCCAGTTGTCTGCTTGATTAAGAATATGCAAATCCCAGCTCCAGTTTCACCTTATAGCCCCTGTTAAGTGCCTCAGTCAATATCAGCCGTCTACGAATATTTTGGGACCTCAAGTCCCACTGCGTACCATCTCTACCGTTGGGAAATACGACACGAATTCTGTTATGTAATTTCCGTATCATTAACCTTGGCGCTCTGAAATCCYAGATAGTAAACATCCCAACGCAACAATATTCAGTTACACAAAGTATGCTGTCTGAAAACGATAATCGAAAAGACATTAAAACGTCCYGTGATGTTTCGTTTGAGTCGGGACAGTTTTTTTGTTTTTGCTTTAGGAACTATCTTTCAACTAAGAAAATTCCCGGCACTAATCAGCCAAAAGGTACTTGATATTTGTGATTCGCTTAATACGTGGAAGAAAACAATACGTGACAGTGTGATCCGTGAACCTTTGTGCGAATGAAAAAGATCTCAAAGTTCGTAAAACAGACAAATATCTTTACGTGAATGCATTATGCGAGTATATAAGTCACTTTGATAAGGCATAAAGTAACTCACCAAGCTAAAGTCAGTGTAGCTCCTTCAATTTGTAAATACTGATTAACTGACCTTTGCCGGATCGGGTATCTCTTCGTCGGCAATGCTCAGCCTACTCCACAGGGGGAGGGGTCTGTCAGACTCTACTCTGAAAATCRMTCTTCCGTCGTCCCATTCCMAAACAAGCAAAGRCGAATGTGAAAACCCTTCATTCGTTCAAGTGTTAACTTTAATAAACATCTATATCTTTAGAATTCGTATAACTGTGAAACAAATCAGACAAATRCATTCTATCTGTGATAGCCCACCCTTGATATAATGGTTATAAATAACCATTAATAATATAGAAWTGAAGAGTACTTCTAATCAGCACTGTTGTGTAGGAATCACAATGGTGTAGATTTAAGTCGAAAAAAMCGTGAAATGAAAGGGTGAATGCACTTCGTGATTTAGTACAAATTTGTGCTGTTTTGATATTGTACCATTTCACGCATTAAATGCGTTCACTTGATACTAATGTAGTTAAATCTTGTTTCACGGGTTTAAGGACTTMACGMTGTTSCTTGATCTTTCCTTAAGAGTTTCTTTATTAACTATATTTTTTGTATTTGATTAAAAACGATATAGTTGACAACGATTAAAAGAACAGTAACAATAAACTATATCCACAGTGACGTCATCACGGCCCTGCTTCGACCTTATATGTTATCCAGATTGCTATTCGTAGTAATCAAAACAATCCCACAATACACTGCAAAGCTTCTTTAGGACGTCATTTAATCCCAATCGTCATCACTATTACCAGCCTCTCCTCCACCAATGTTATAAACTTGACCAGCTCCTCCCACACTAGTATTGTAGGACGTCCCAGCACCTCCACCTGCACTATATGGTTCACTTCCACTGCCACCAGAATTGTACGAGTGTCCAGTTCCTGCTCCAGTATTGTATGCAAAGCTTCTTTAGGACGTCATTTAATCCCAATCGTCATCACTATTACCAGCCTCTCCTCCACCAATGTTATAAACTTGACCAGCTCCTCCCACACTAGTATTGTAGGACGTCCCAGCACCTCCACCTGCACTATATGGTTCACTTCCACTGCCACCAGAATTGTACGAGTGTCCAGTTCCTGCTCCAGTATTGTATGAGGGTCCAGTTCCTCCTCTACCAGTATTGTACGAGGGTCCAGTCCCTGCTCCAGTATTGTATGAGGGTCCAGTTTCTCCTCTACCAGTATTGTACGATGTACCAGATCCCCCTGCGTCACCACTGTAGCAGTAAGAAGCCTGAGATGGCCCATTTTGCATATTGAAGTCTGGAGCTTGTGATCCAAACTGTGAATTGGGATCATTCTGTAGTATGACGCCAGAGTTTTGATGTCCATTTTGTCTACCTCTTCCACCCTAAAATCGAAACAAAGTATGCGTTAAAATCGACTGCTGGACGTGCCATTTAAGAAGCCTGGTTGTTTTGAAGAAGTCAAAAACTAATACCAATTGTAATGACTAACCTCACGCGTGTCACGTGATGAGAACCGTCCACCTTTGGGGCCGTAGCCTGAACCAACAGCATCCTCGGCAGCCTGCTCGAGCCATGCTGGGACTTCTTGAAATGCCTGTCAAGTAGAGATGTTGTTTAGTACTATTTTGTTTCACGGAAGTGCACTCGTTACAACCTTTTTTTGGTTATGTAATATCATTTTTTGGTTATGTAATATCATTAATGCACTTACGTCACTCAAAATCTTCACCAAACTTCTGGCAATCTTTTCATCTCGTCCCTGCTCGAAAAAAGACGTCGCTTTTCCGCTGTTTCCTATTCGTCCAGTTCTACCGATACGATGGACGTATTCGTCAATTTCTTGAGGTAAATCATAATTGACAACATGCTTTACATCCGGGATGTCCAGACCACGAGCAGCGACGGATGTGGCGACGAGAACATTGGCTCTGCCAATACGGAAGTCACGCAACGCTTCCTCGCGTTCTCTTTGGCTTCTGTCACTATAAATTCAGAGATTTGTTAGCGTTCGTTCTGCAGACATAGTAATGTAGAGAAGAATGGCTCATGATAGTTGTAWGTCGCTATGGATACCTGCTAATACTTGTCGTCGGGAAATTGTTTTCAGATAGCAGGCAAGCCAAAAAATCTGCGACTCGTTTTAGCTCGACAAAAACCAGCGTCCTGTCAAGACCTGAGTATAGAAATAGCAGATTCATATGAGTCATATAGTAGAGCTCAAATATATGCTAAGAGATGGATATGCAAAACAGTCCAATGAATTAGAAAAAATTGAAAGGAAAAATGGTAGGATGATTGATCAAGTGCACCATTCAACGTTTTTTGGAATAACTGTATATTACCTGATCCGTTCAAGATATCAAAAAGCCGATCTCTCTTATCATTGCCATTAACTTGCAGTATCCTCTGCTCAATGTCGAGGTTCGTCCCTCCTACCCGACCGACAGCCAAGAAAAGGTAATCAGTCTTTAGAAAATCAGCAGCAAGAACCTGGACCTCATCAGGGAAGGTAGCACTGAACATCAAGGTCTGTCTTTGGTGTTTATCGGTCATGTTACTTTGTTGAACAATCCTGCGGACATCATGTTCAAAGCCCATATCCAGCATGCGATCAGCCTCATCCAGTATCAAACACTGGATATTGTCAAGGTAAATCTAAAAAAAAAAAAAACAATAATAAGAATCATGTCTGTGGTACTGATGATGATGATTATAATGATCACGTTATCTATTTCAACACTGAAGACAATCAACGTTGGAGGGGAAAGGCCCCAACAGAGCGAAGCCCTGCCGACGGGCAACGCGGCGAGCTCGAGCCCATCTTTGCTCGGGCAGGGGAGAGTCAAGTATCCATGGTAACGCTGAGAGGTCATTTTCACCGGKTATTTATTTTACAAACATCTGAAGTGTTATCTGTTACATCATCGTTAAGTTAGTAATCTTGAGCTTTTTTCGTAAATCATTTATAGAGACTCCATTACACCAACAATTATCGTCTACATCAATAAATAAAACGCACCTTCTCCCTCGAGATAAAGTCCAGTAGTCTTCCTGGTGTGGCAGCCAGGAAATGACAGCCTTGCTCCAAACACTGTGATTGATACGCAACACTAACTCCACCATAAACTTCATTGACTCTGATTGGAGTACCATCAGAGAATTTCCTGGCTTCTTGGTAAATTTGTTTTACTAACTCACGGGTCGGTGCCAGAATTAACACTAAAGGGGAACGCGAGGCACTGGGTAGACCTCTCTTGATCATATTTGTTATGGTGGGTAAGAGATATGCAACCTGAAATAGTTAAACAGCACATCACTACATACATAAATGAAATGGATAATGGGAAATGGGAAATGAATAAGTGGATGTATAAATTAATAGAGGATACCAACACAAATGAATTAATGAATGCATGAATCAGGAAACAAAGGAATGAAGGAATTTAAAAATGCATATGACTATGAAGACAGCAATAACTACATTGGACTTACTGTTTTGCCTGATCCAGTCTGAGCACATGCCATGAGATCTCTACCACCCTGTACAATGGGGAAAGTATACTTCTGCACTGGTGTAGGCTTCAAATATCCAGCACGTTTAATATTTGCCATACACTGGCTGCCAAAATTCGCTTCCTCAAATGAGTTTACAGGATTAGGTTCATTTAAGCCTGAAACCTTGACTGGAATATTATCATATCTTTCAAAGTTGATACCAAAATGTGGGGCATCTTTAAACAGGGTATCCATGTCATCTATTTCTTCAGGTATATATGTGACTGGAGCAGGTCTGGATGGATCAGCTGAACACAAAATACAGTTCAAACATAAAAACCATGAAATATAACAATACCGTAGTTATTTTCATATCACTATGAAATGATACTTTCAAACACTGATTTTCTCTGCAATACTTCTACAAGACTGATAAACAGGAATATAGTTTTAGAGTCTCTCATGTACAGCTTACTTATATTTCACTAATCATGGCACAAAAAAGCTCATTAAGGACAACACTGGATAGCAGCTGCTACAAGAAAAATGTTGTTAACTACATGTACCTACCTGCTACATTTGGRCATTCTCGTGCAAAATGTCCCTCTTCACCACATCTATGACATCCACTCCCTAGAAAAAAATGTCTTCATCAATAATAATAATAATACTTTGATCACAACTGTGGACAGTCTCTGGACATATGTTCTTCCTGGCCACATTGACCAACCATCAATAAAAAAATTATCAATAAGTACTTTGAGGATCTTTTCAATTTCTTTACTACCTATTTTCTTGTTAAGGTGAATAGTATATACTTAGCCTAAAGTATACCTCTATTAGTGGACTGCTCACTGCAATCCCTAGCAAAATGCCCTGCACCGCCACATCTGTGACACAACTGATCATTACCTGAACATTGAAAAATAGATGAATAAATATGTCAAATACAGTGCTGATACATGTACAGAAAGAATCACTAATGCCAGGATGGTACGGTAGATAGAGGAATAAAATGGACAAGGAATGCTTTATTAATATTGATGTAAAAAAAACAAAAAAAAAGGTATGAAGACTGACCTGGCCCTGACTTATTTGGACACTCCCGGGAAAAGTGGCCTAATTCTCCACATTTATGACACGACTGGCCTCCTGGAAAGACAAAGAATATAAATCTCTGTACTTTTTTGACATCACAAGAAAATAAGCACAGATAGAAAGTCTTAATACATTACCAGTATTGTTAGGACATTCTCTTGCAAAGTGGCCAGTTTCACCACATTTATGGCATGTTTGACCGCCTATGATCCAGGAAAAATATATCACAACATTTAACCTTCCTGTTTGTGATGAGCATGCAAAGTTAAGAACGTGTACCTACCTGGCTGGCGAGGGTTGGGGCATTCTCTAGAGAAATGGCCTGGTTCTTTACAGTTATGACAAACATTGTCTGTAATTGCAACAATAACATCAGAATACCCA